CTGCACGAACACCAACATCCTAAAAACACAAGTGATTATCCGCCCACCGTCTGTCCAATTTGACCACCTTGCTCCCATTAGCCTACGACTAATCTGTGCACGCACACCCACCCACAGCTTCGCGGTGAGAAAAACATGTCCTGTCTCCAGTCGGGCACCTTGTTTGTATCTCCTTTTTTCTGCCCTAACAAGGAATCGGAAGTCAGCCCGAAATGTGAGCATAGGGAAACCCTTTCCCCATCTATTCTCCTCCTCTGCCTTTCAAAACATCTTGATCCTTCACAGTCTCCCGCCTGCTTTATTTCACAATTAGAGAATCGGATACGGTAAAGGCAATCTTCTTCATTTAGGAAAATCAGAAGCCCAGCAGACCTTTCTCCTGACGAACAATAAATAAATAAATAAATAAATAAAAAGGCAAAACCTCACGCTTCAGCAGAGGCCGTGGATTTCATGAGCTGTAGCTCCCGGGAGCGTATGCCTTTGAATAAAAATGTGAATTTCCTGATTGCGGGTCCTCTGGCCTAGTATATCGTTTTTCCTATAAGGTCTTCCTTGAGGAAAGAAAGCCTTACTCACGGTTTTTCTCAGGTTTGGTCTTTTCGCTGCCGTGAAAGCCCAAAGGGTGTTTTGAGCAGGGTGCACTTGACCCACCAAATCTTTACCGGGAAGTTTTATCTAGGCAGGACTGAGCGGGCCCCTTTGCCTTCCCGGGTGGAGGTCAGCCTGTCTACGGATACTGTTGCTTTTATCAAAGTCATCTGGGTGCTATAAGGAAGTAACCAGCTGAAAATCCAGAAATGGTGCAACCTTGGACAAGTGGCAGAAACACCCATTCTCCAGGTTTGGTTGCAAGCCAATGCAGATGGCAGGTTTAATCTTCAAGCTTCTACCTGATCTTTGATCGCCGTTTTCAAAAGAGCGAGCAAACTCCACAATGGTGAAAAGCAACACTAATACAATTCACACATGTGCCAGCAAGTTCAGGGAGATGGGTTTTCTTAAGAGGAAGACTGAAGGGCCCCAAATGGCCCAAGGAGCACTCAAAACACCACAAATCAACTCCCATCGACGGGGACGTTGATCACCAAAGAAGATACGAATGGAAGCTTGTAGTTTTTCAAGACGCCATGCTGAAAGTAGCCCTTTTCATCCCTTTTGCCTGGATCCTTAAAAGGTAAATATTTTTTACATTTACAAAAGTAAAGACATTTACGAAAGTATCTGTAAATGTCGCCGTGAATATAACTTTCCAGTAAACATTCTCAACTGATTTAAACAGAAAATAGGCACTGCACTCGAGGGGCTTTTTACATTATTGTTCTCTTTCCTCATCCCTCCGAATGCTCCCGGCTCCTGGGAAAACTTCTAAAATCATTATCCATCCCTTAAAATGGGTTCAGCTGACGGTGGTGATCTTTCCAGAAAATAAAGCTGCATCTGTTGGATTCTTCCGTACTTGTATGCTTTTCAACCTGAGGATTTTTTTTATGCCTCTGACTGACCAGTTTATGATCCACAAAAATGTCTGGCACAATATTACGAATAATAATAATAATAATAATGATGATGTCATCCAGTCTGAACTTCTAGCTGACTGTGCAACCAACGATCGCTATCATCATCATCATTATTATATAACTTTTCATGTCCCATAACCCAGTGATCAGATTCACACAACACACTAAAATGATTTATACGGGTCTGGCTTAGGGTGATGTGTGAACCGAGACACTGGGGTTAGAAACCATCATATAGCTTAATATTCTGGGTGAAGGGAGCCCATTGGAGTTGCTTAGTTTGTTCAATAAACCATGCTCAGACAAACCAAGATTAGAATGTGTTTCTCCAGTAACACAGACCAGACTGAACTGCAGTTCTCACTTGTTGGGAATCTACTCCCTTAAATTCTATGGGGCTTCCTTCGGACCCGGCTCCTTATATGGGAGACCGCAATTTCTTTGTTGGGGGCTTAGGTGTTTCTCACATGACTTTGCATCCGTTTTAATCGTCGTTCGCCGTTCTGAGTGGGGCGTAAGCACTAGAAGGACAGGATACCAAGGTCTGTATAATCTAAAACAAATGAAATACTCAACCCAGGGGAATCTATCCCCTGGTTCCCTTGAAGAGCAAAAGATTCTCTGAAGCCAAGCTTTTCTTGGTAATAGCATCCAGGGTAATTTTTCCTTTTAAACTATCTCGTCTGCTCGCCAACCCCGGGATCTCCTTGTGGTCCCCCATCCAAGCACTAAACTGTGACTCCGATTAATGGGGGTGGGATCCGTGGCAACTAGCTAGCACAGCTGGGCTCTGATCCTTCCCACGCCATCCTCCACTCCCTCTCGCCACCTTCCCCAGAATCGCAGGCTGGGAAGGGACCCGGAGGTCAGCTAGTCCAACCCCCTGCCGGGCAGGGCTTCTCATCTGGCCCCAGATCCGCCGCATGGCCCCGGCCCGGCCCTCTCTGCGGCAGGGCCAGCGGCACTCCGGTTTCGCCCCGACCTTCCGGAGGGGCTCCCTAACGACTCCGACGCGCAGGCAGCGTGGCATCCAGATGTTCCCACATCCGCTCTGGCACGGAAGGAGGCGGCCCCTGAGGCGGCCTGCGGGCAGCGTCAGGGATGCCCCGAGACCCGGG